TGAAGCACATAAACAAGGTTAAGCATATGCACGATTATATGGGCAATCTGATAATTTTTATGCTTTATGTCACAACATATAGTTATTACTTTGTAGTTGTTATTAACATATAGATATTATTTGCTTTGGCAACATTTTCTAATTTTTTCGATTTGAGAAAAATATATCTATGCAAGTACGTAGTACATTGATTGAAGGACTGTAGCTTACCGCAGTGGTTTTATCACTTTTATTTATAACCCTTCGTACAATAGGACATTTCAAGAAGAGGATGTTAAGTTGTTGTTACCTGTGGGAATTGTTATGAAACAACAGTATAAAAGGAACATGTTAGAAGTGAATGGAACAGAGCACTGTTTTGACCGAATGCCTGCGTTCATCCGGCTGGCTTTTGGACAACTTTTTCTGCTTTGCTGATTAGTTAGGTCTAGAAACTGAGATCGCGGTTCATTTTCCACGATCTACATACTCTCCTTTAAGGTAGAATGAGATTTTATCCTGTAAGTTCAATTGTTTAAGAAAATTGCTACATGAGGTTGTAATAGGGTCTGTTGATCTAATTATTTAGATCAATTTAAAAGGATTACTCTAATGATCAATTTCAGAGACTTATCGGTCCAGCTCTGAGTGACTCAACAGCGATGTTGCACTACGGATTGGTCTTTCTCGCACTTCTCTCAGTCAGCTTGGCCCAGCCTGCAATCCCCGTGGAACCCATGATCCTTGCAAAGTCATGCCCATATCCAAACGGAACCGCCACAGCGACGCATACGTTCAACTGCGATGCATCTCACAAGATCATAGTCAAATCTATTAAAACGTTGAACTCAAATGGCCAACCGATGTATCCGATCGATATGAAAAAACCAATCGTCCTTGCGCTCGAAGCTCAAAACGAAGGAGACGTGGTACGAGATTATGTTCATATTCTTTGAACTCGTTGAATTTGATATTCTGCACACTGCTCTCATGAAAGGGCTCTTCGATTATAAATTAAAGTTGGAAGTCATCTTCTTTCGCATTG